GTCTGACAAGAATCATGCAACAGATTCAGTATATCTTATTCTTCCAGTTACAGAAAATAAAAAAGCGAATGCCATCAAGCTATACATCTGTAAATCGAAGTTTGCTATACGAATGCCAAGCTTATGCAATTTCAAATAACCAACCCATTGATAAAAATTATACCATACTTTTAGCAAATTATTGTTTTTAGTGGAAATATCATTAATAGAAATTTGTTTATCCTGAATATATAGATGAATCGCAACTCCAACTGCTATCCAAATAAGCTCAAGTACTCGAAATGTTGCCTGATAATCAGCAATTTGTTCGAGTTTATCAAGAAATTTAATGCCGAGACATGAAGCAAGTTCAAAAAGTCTGTAGCCTAAAAAACCAGAAATTAATGTACTACACATTGCCTTATTGGTATGCCATTGTCCTAAAATGCAATGCACCGTTTGATTTTTATTTTTATAATCTTTCATGCGACGATAAATTGCTTCATCACATGCTAAATTTAATACATTACTCTCCATACAATCAAAGTCTTTTAGGAACATATTTGCTGCCGCGTGAACATGCTCATTCATGTTTGGAGCCTCTCCCGGTTCAAGAATTACAATGTTCGGAGATGATACAAATGGTGCAGAGTCGATATATTCTTTAATAGCTAAATCAACATGTTCAATACCAAATTCCTGCCCGTAACTAATTAATTTATTAAAAATTGTGTCTATTTTTCTTTTGCCATTGTTCCATAGTAAAATTTATACCAAAAAGATTCTGATTTTCTAACAATTTTTCATCTAAATTAGCAAGCTCAGAATATTGAAATTAAAAAGCCATCTGTAATGTAGCATATGCGATAACACGTATTACATCATAAATGTTGCCATAATGAAAGGTCACATCTCTTATATCGATATTATCTATAACTCCAAAGTTTAAAACATTTGGATGCGTAATAAGCCTTGATTGAGGTTCTGCTGCTAACATTCTTTTTTTTTGAATACATACTTCATGATCCCGAACGTATGATACTATTTGCATTGCATGGAGAATTCGGTATAAAGATTCTATCATTTTTGGTCGTCTACAAAGAGAGGAAAGAACATGTGTAACCCATATTTTCCAATAAGGAAAAGCAACAGTAAGAATTACTGAAGCAAAGAGTGTAGTAAGTAATTTTATTTTTTTTTCATCTAATTGTAGAAGAGATTGGCCTCTTTCTTTTCTCTTTCTAGCCAATACTTTATTTCTTTTTTCTTCCAGAACTGAAATTAAACTAACAAAGAAATTTGTAAGTGGCGATGGCATGGCAGTATAATAATTATCGAGCGACTCTGGCTCTTCAAGTAATGGCAAACTCTCTTTAAGTTTAGTTCGTGCTTGGATTACAGAATATCCAAGCATTCTTCCAAAATCTTTGCACACAATATCTTCTAAGTGCATTGCTTGTACTTCTTCACTAATATAGATTTTATTAACTTCAAATGCAATTTTTATTAAAAAAGGGCTAGGCGTTGTAGTGGTGGTAGAAGTTTCATCAACAGTATTATGCGCTTCATGCCTATTCTCGGTAACATTGTCAAGAAGTTTAACAAGCTTATTTAATAAATTAATTTTTGTAGTTTCATCATAACTTATAGCAGTCTGTTCAATCCATTTACTGAATTGCATCAAGGCAACCGTACTATCATCACTATGCTGCCCTTGCTCTATGCATGAAGCCAAGCATTTTCTCTTTTTTGGTAGAATATGAAAATGAGTTACAAGGCAGTTTGTACAGATAAATCGAGGGTTCTCATTGGTGAATGATCTAACCAATAGAACTTTATGTTCAGAGATTGCTGAACAATCAAACAATCCACGGCATGGTGCTTAAATTGTGCATCCGCATACTTTCCACGTATGCGATGCACATGTTTTACCTCTTGTAATAAATAATTTAAATTTTTTGCAGAATAAACAATGATGTGAGGTAACAACACTTTCTTCAATTGTCCTTACAGCTTTTATACGCTTTTCTGAGTTAACCTTGTGTACAGTATTTTGATCATAGTTGACATGATGCATACAAACCTTTAACTATGAAAAATTGTTCCTGACTTTTTTCACAACTAAAGAATCAACCTCCCACGTACCACATAGTTGTTTTATACTACGGTCTCCTTGTTGGTTGCATGTTTGGATTATATGCAAATCATCATCATAATCAATAATAACACAACGTGTTAATTCTGTAGCATCGCTAGAAGTAACAGGAGTTTCAATCTCATCGTGATTAAAAGATTCATTACTTTCATCATCAAGAAATTCGTCATTACTGGGAAACTCATCACCCTCGAGAAATTCGTCATTGCCTTCAAGAAATTCTTCTTGTGAATCCCAATCGAATATGAAATCCCCGTCATATGCTAGTGTTCAATACTATCATCAGATTCTTGACTATAAATTTCTTCATGGTCAGATGAAGTTTCATATAAGTACTCTTCCATAATTTTGTTTATTAATTATGAGAAGACTAGTTGAAAAATTGATTAAACTTTAACAGTTGATAATTTGATGAAAAGTTAGGTTAAAAGTTTTATTTTTTTTTCAAATCGGTTTGATAAAATATTTTGAAAGATTGGAAATTTCACTTTAATTTATCTTTGGTTTGGACAAAGTCAGTTTCATTAGCACAAAGGTATCTTTATATTCTGAATTGAGAGTTTTAAAAAGGTATATCTGATTTATTAATCGACGATTTAGGTTAATAAAAACATTCTGATGTAATAGGATTTAGAGGACAAAGTAGCGATGAAACAAACAGATTTCGACAAAACAAAATTTCAACAAAGGATAAAACTCAAAGTTAAGTATTTTTTAGCATGTATAGTTATCATAAAAATGACACAAAGTATAGTTAATAAAACATTTATTTTTATTTTATATTAACTAACTAATATTACATTGTAATCTTTTTTTATTTTATTTTGGACATAATGATATACAACGACGCCTTGTCAAAAGCTACTAAAATCAGTTTATTGAAAGTATCTATTTTTTTTATTCTGGGCCCAAGAACTCACGACGATGCCTTCACAATGACCCTTTACAATGACCCTTCACAATGACCCTTCATAACAACACCTTGGGAGCTGATCAAACTCCTGACAAGGTCAAAATCCTGACAAGTTAGTCCACTTTAGGTTAGTGTTAGCTGTAGTTCCAGTTAATTTTTGTTGATTGTCAGGATTTTGACCCAAACCTCCTCATGATGATGCCTTTACAACGACACCTTGTTAAAGCAACTGAAATAAATTTATTGGAAGTTTAAAAAACATCCTAAGACGAATCAACTATTCTTTTAGTAAACTCATATCAAAATATGTAAAAAAAAAAAAGAAAAGAAAATCGAATGATTTTAAAAAAATTTCCCTGATGATTTTAAGTTAAAATATAAAGAAACATAATAAAATTTTGTTAATACCACACGAATACTGCCTTTTTTAATCAAAGCTTCGATTTCAACGTTCTACAAAACTCATAAAACTCGAATTAGTGAGTTTCATATACCCGGAAAATCTTTTTGTAACAGTAAAATAGAAAGCTCACTGCATTACCAAGCGTAATATAATATGAAACAAAATGCTAACTTTATGGGCACGATTAGTTGTGGTTTTATTTCTATCCCGCTTCAAACTTGCGTGTAATAAAAGAACTTGTCTTTATGAACACTTGCACTACATCCCGTGAATGCAGTTTCCTTTTTGGAAACCCTTGAAATTAACGATTAAAAGTGGGTTACCGTTGCATTTTACTATGAAATGTGGGTCGATCATATGAATGTTGATCACTCAAATTTAATAATAAAAAATTTACCCACATGATCTGCGTGACAAATCGTGTTTCTGCTAGTTACCAAAATACTCATTCCAAAGTGCGAACATTATCAGAAAATTTCGTAATGGTAGGCAATTAACGGACATGAAGCACAGAGACTTTCGGATAAAACATAGATTACTTTCACGGTATATAACTTAAAATTACCAGTAACTTACCATTTTGGTAACTTACCAATAAATTGCCGTAATTTTACAACCTTGTTTATGACTTCGTAAAATTGAGTGATCGTAGGCGAAATTTGTTAATTCCGGCTCAACTGACCACGATTCCGACGAATTCTGTTTCGTTAGGGAAGTGCAGTTTATTACGTAATTTCTTTTTATTAGAAGGTCAGGCCCACTCCCCTCTAGGTGATCGAATTAGCAGCTAATCATAATGTTTAGATATAACATATAAACGTTAACCCCTCATCTTCCCTCTTAAAATTACGTAATAAACGGCATTTCCCTTAAATCTTAAGTCACCTCGACTTCGTTCGTCGCAGCATCCTTTTATCACAACGTGCTACGATTCATTTATTATCGTTATCAGTTTTTCTAACAAGTTTGGTTGGGAGGTGAAATATGTTATATAAATAAAAAAAGGTTGACGTATACTAAACCGTTAAAATTTATTCTAATTTGTTTATATATACTTTTCAACACGCGTAAATCTTCAATTATTAAATTCATAGGTATGCCGGATTATTGGGGAATTCTTGTTTATGGGTGCTTAGGAGGTATGCCAGATTTAAGTCGAATGAAAAAAACACGAGGCAAGCGGACAGTGCATGCCAAAGATCGTTTAATACCAAATAATATTTGATATTAACGTCCCGATACATTAAACAAATTGATTTTAAGTGCTATTAGCAAGATTTAAATCAGATTATGAAATTATCTGTCAAAAATTTTTATAAAGACACGATAGCAGGGTTGGCAATAATGGATATTAATGGATCAATGGATATATGTCCATTAATCCATTAATCCCTTGGTCCAATTAATTTTTAATATGAAGTAAAAGATGCGATGCGGTTTAAGTAAAGTGATGGTTTTATCTCTAAAAAAATTATATACTGTAATATTCTATTAATTGACAAAATTTTAATGCTACTTTGAAAATATGTGAAAAATCTTGAATCTTGTTGTCATATATCAATTGAAAAATTGATAGCACAAGAATCACCAGAGGAATCGCCTGTGTCATATAAAGACGCTAATTTTGTAGTTGAAATCCCACTAGTTATAGTAGAAATCTCACTGCCCACTTCTGTAGTAGCATTTTGAAATACAAAACCGCCTTTTATTTTAATTTTAGAAAAATAATTAGCAATGCCAACTGCTTTGGGTCTTTTATTAGGATCTGCATCCCAACAGCGTCGTATTATTTCCGTGAAAGCTTTTGGAGTTGCATCCGACAATATTGGGCGAGTTCCTCTAAAAATTTCAAGTTGCAAGGCTTTATCATGTACTTGTTCTGCGAATGGTGAATTAAAAGTTGTCGCATAATATAATATCATTCCAAAAGCATAAATGTCCGATTTTGCCGAATACTCTTTTTTAGTTAAAATTTCAGGAGCAATATACGAAAGATTTCCAACAATATTATTTGTTGTATCGGTATGGTCTGGAGGTCTAGTAAACCCGAGATCTGCAATATACCAATTATTATCAATCCTTCCTCGTAGGATATTGCCGGGATGCAGATCACGGTGCACCAGTCCCTCTTTGTGAAGGTAGAAAAGCCCGGAAATGATGTTCTTACACATATGGTTTATATCTGACCATGTAATTATTGAACGATAACTACCGATATATTCACGCAAATCGCATTTCATCCGATTTAACACCAGCATATAATCTTTAGTAATGGGATCACGTGTAACACCATAACAACGCACTATCGCATCACAAACACTGGAGACATAGAGGTGCTTTTCAAGCTATATAATAAAATTTGATTAATATGAATATATGAATACAAAAGAAAACGACATCAAATATGCTAACCTCATTCTTGAAATCATTTTCTGGATGGTTCCAATTCAACTTCTTCAGAACAACCTTAAAGTGTGTCAATCCTCGTGACAACGTTCTCGTCGTTTTCCTCCATCTAGCATACAGTCCTCTCATATATGTTGCAGTATAAACGGAGGCGTATCCACCTTGAGTTAGATAATCGACATCTCTTAATAGTTCGTAAGGAATCCATTCGGGAATAGCATCAGGTATCGGTGCTCTCGTTTGAGCAAGAAGAATTTGACGGTCTATATGCTTGTCCATTGATGTCCATTTAGTTGTCTCATCCTGTAGAAAATCCACGACGCAATGTTGGCACCAAACTATCATATATCCTGACCTATCACATATATCACACCTATACGTGACATCTTTTCCATATAATAAATTATCTCGGTCTTTAAGCATTGTCAAACTCAATATAGCATCATCTTTTTCTTCTTGCGTTAATATATTATCATTATAAACGAATGCAATTCTCCGAAGATATACCACATTCCATTTGCCGGAAAAAGCATCTTGAGAACGGTTGATAACACTTTCAATCTTGTCCTCACGAAGTTTCGAGTATTTAAATCCTCGGGGAGAGTTTAGAGTACGGGTGATACTATTTTGGATCACATCCTTCCAATCTGCCCAATCTGTAGAGCATGCCATTATTGGAAAAGTTATGGAAAGGTTAAAGATCAAACTTGAAAAATTCAAATCCAAATATCCGTAATGTAATGTTAACGGGAAAAAAAGGTTAATTCAAGATATGAGATTTATTACTGAAAATTTAGTTTCTGTGTTAATTATGACTAATGTATTACTATATATAGTTATTGTAAATATTTCATATCCGATAAATGTAGTAAAAATGCGATAAATGTAGTACATGTAGAACACGAAATGATGCCCGCATGCTATCATGTATGCGTATGGTGTGCGCATGGTGCACGCAAGTGTGTCAAATTCGGAGTTATAATAGTTTTAAAGACAAAACCAATTAGATATTAATTTTTTTAGAAATGTTGCACGTGATACAACCATGCACACCATGCAACCATGAAAATCACGTGCATCATGCAGCATGGTATGGTCTAAAATG